GGGGTGAGTAATACCTTGAAGCTTTAGGGTATCATACTGGAGTGTAGCCATTGGACAAAACAAATCTCTCATTCAGACATCATGTACATTAAAGTCAGAGAAAGGAGGAGAAAATTTCCCTTCATTTTTACGTACTAGGGTACCAAGAGGCATATGAAACCAAAAATTCCGGAGACGATTAATCTGTCCCCGTTGTTCTACGCACCCCGCATAATCTAGCAAAATTTGACCATTTTTTACATAATTTCTGATCATTTTCCTTTATCATTCTTTGTTAAAATGAACAGAATCGCATAATTTCACATATTTGGGTTCCGTTTGCACAATTTCAGAATTTTTCTAGCATAAAACGACGGGGACAGATTAATTCTATAGACAAACATAAGGAGAACAGAAACACAGAAGTACATTCAAATGGGGCAAAGAATGTATAAATTCTATCAAAATCTAAATTCTATTTAATGCTGATGGAAATTTGTAGCTGTAAATGTCTCAGCCTCCATCCACACAACTTAGATCATTTAACACTTTGCCATCACATCTCGCCGATCTGCGATGTTATCCATCCAGTTTCTTTGGATTTTCCCCAAAATACCTTTGCCTTTGATGGCAAGGGTTTTTACTATAGGAGCCTTTGATGGCAAGGGTTTTTACTATAGGAGCCTTGTGATGGCAAGGGTTTTTACTATAGGAGCCTTGTGATGGCAAGGGTTTTTACTATAGGAGCCTTGTGATGGCAAGGGTTTTTACTATAGGAGCCTTGTGATGGCAAGGGTTTTTACTATAGGAGCCTTGTGATGGCAAGGGTTTTTACTATAGGAGCCTTGTGATGGCAAGGGTTTTTACTATAGGAGCCTTGTGATGGCAAGGGTTTTTACTATAGGAGCCTTGTGATGGCAAGGGTTTTTACTATAGGAGCCTTGTGATGGCAAGGGTTTTTACTATAGGAGCCTTGTGATGGCAAGGGTTAAGAGGTAGGCTGTGTTTGATCCTGTCTATCAAGGCCAACCCTGGCTGAGAGGGAAGCAATATCCCAGCAGATTGATAGTTGTTTTTGTTTTTTTTTGGTAAGTGTTTTACAGCTCTCGCAACTGCATGAGGTCATATGAGCGCAGCGGACTGCAGATAAGAAACGACGGTACGGGCTCAACACAGACAGAAATCAGTCAGCTCACCAGTTCAAACTCGTGTCCCACGCAGGACTGTACAAAGTCATTGTGCCGCAAATACATCTGAAATAGCGTAATGAGAAATGTGTCACACAAGAAGAAACATATGTGCCACGACGTGATGGAATCAGGCACTCGTCCAGTTTTGGTCATGTGGAGTTATTGGTATCATTTAAAAGCTAATTCATTTCCCGTACTTTCAATAAAGAAATACCCATGAATCTAAAATAGAAGTCGAGATATTTGTGATTGAAGGAGATGAGGTCGCCTGGTTTCAGTGTTAAAATTAGCTAAAAAGTTTGGTAACTCCAATAGCTTCAGAGTCCTTGAAAACAGAGAAATTACATATTTTGTGCCTTTAATCAATGTTTTTCAGTAAAATTCACATGGAAATGTGGTTTTAAATGGACATTGAAGGGGTTGAGCAAAAAAACTGAAATTCAATTTTAAAAATTGCCAAACTGGCAGAAAAATGCCAGTTTCTTCCATTTAATTATTTTGACGAGTGCCTGATTTTACCACGATGCCTCACATTATCTTCTTTGTTTTATAAGATGGGATAAGTAACAACGGGTAAACTTTTCATAATTATAAATACGTACATGCATAAATACATACATAAATACACACTATTACACAAATACAGAACAGTTTACAACCATGCCACTGTTGGTCGCCATTGTGCAGCACCCTGTATTTTGAGCTAGGGTTGTCGTGTCTTGCTCAAGGACACACCCCAGTGACCACCCATCTGATTCCCGTGCCACACACACACACACACACACACACACACACACACACACACACA